ATTGCGAGGTCATTGCTAAACCTGATGTCCATGAACACTGCACAGTTAGCTTATCTTCATGCGAGTTTATATGATATTAACAATGTGGTATTCGTTGGGTATCTTTTAGACACGCATTTACTTCAAGTAAGTTGATGAAGAATTTTCGGTGAGAAAATTTTTCCCGTTATTTTTGTAGGTTTTCAGCGCTATACAATCGTCGTTCAACTTCTGGACAGGCGGCCGTATGAAGGCGCTCTATTTTCGGCATGCTCACTATCTGGGCGCGCTTGGTGCTCTCTTGAAAAGAGAATCGACACTTGCTACGATGACCCCGGGAAGGGAGTGAGTTGGAATTGCTGGGAAAATATGCACATGGTTAACTACATGTGTTGGTGATGACAATATGAAAATTCTGAGGAAATTTTGGAAAGTCTCGTTGGTTTGTGTACACTGCTATCCTAACTCGTATAATGTAGCTTTGGGAACTCCTGAGCTCAGCTGAGTAGAGCAAACAGATATTTCTCTTGCACTGACCACACCTTTTCGAAATCGTGGCCTGCTGAACAGGTGGTGAGAGGATGATGTCCATTGTAGAAAATTGAAATATTAGAGATAGTCTTTCCGGAATATGGAGTTTTGTCAACTTCTCCGCGATCTCTTCAGGTTGATACCGTGCGATACGGTGACGCTCGAACAGTCGCTACTGGATGAGAGATTGACTAACTTGAATGTTAGTGTTAATACCGCAAGTAAGATAAGAAAGAATACAGTTCAACCCTGGGAACTCGATGACATTGATGAGGAGGATGATGACGAACAGAATCTGATCTCGTTGTGACGGAGTTCTTAAAATTAGTACATTGCTACTTTGACTACAGCTCCCTTCACTATATTCTATTACTGGTCACCGCTTTGCGTTGTCAATTTCACTACAATTCTCAAGCTCTGTGATCGTCAGTGGGAGTTAATAACACTGATGAATCGGTGCGGAGTGGATGGTGGATGATAGGAAGCTGCTTCCTGGCAGCAGCAGGGTGAACACAACCTTATCTGCTATAGGATATTGAAAGCTAACTGTCATGAATCTGGACATTTGAGAGCTCGTAAAATCAATGATACCTGCTGGCACTTCACATACCACGGGGGGCTACAGCAATAGCTGATGTGGAGAATCCTCCGTATAAGCTTCTTGCTGCGGCTGAGTATCAATTGTTCACTATTGCCAAGGCGTATCTTCATGTCGCTATGGCGAATGACGAGGCCATCTCTCTGACAGCCTTATGTGATCCTTGTTGCTCTCGTACATTAATAACTGCCGACACATTAGAGCTACTGCATTTGACTCCTTCTGATGAAGCCCTTTCGGCCTTGATCACACTAAATGGCCAAGTTCTCAACAGCATAGACAGTAGCGATGTTACCATTTCTCTCGATGGTATGACTTCTTGAAGTCAGACTTAATCTTCTTCTGAGTGCGCCTTAGTGGAACTATATTTACCCGGAAACTTACTATAGAAGTCGTTAGACTTCATTATTGAGGTGATCACATACAAAGAAACTTATCCTATCAAACATACGACTCAGACTAATAAATCTTATCACCATAGCTTGTGATATTGGTCAGACCAATACTCAATCTTCTTACTGGATGCTTAACTCTTGTACTCCTTCTTAACGGCTGCTGATCTTCTTCTCTATCGACTAAAACATCTTCTATCTGCTCTTCATCACTTGGCTATACTTGCTTCAACATCAACTTCACGAGT